TTTTTTTTTTTTTTTTTTTTGGTGGTACCGGGTATCAAAGTCTGGCCCTTGTGCTTGCAAGGCAGGAGGCAGAACCACTGAGCTAAATCCCTGGCCCTCTAATTACTTTCCTAAGGCATTATCATACTAAACTGTCTGTGGATATTCATAATATGGCGGTTTCGTTTTATTTGTTCTGCAACTTCCCCATCCTTCCTTGGTTTGAGGTCAGTCTGATTAGGAAGACCTTCTACCTAACATGTTTGTATCTCTCTCCTCCTTTTTAACAGCTGTATCTTTTCTTTTGTAGGAACGTTTCATAGTTTTTTAGCCAGTCTCCTATTGTGGGCCCTTAGGTGATTTCCATTAACTTCGTTGTAGATAATTCTGTAATAATCCTCCCTGTCTCCGAGTCCTCATTAAATATTTTACTGTCCATCAGTTCCTAAAGACAGGATGCTTTAAGTCATGGGTTATATGCAATTTAAACTGCAAAAGAAACTGAGAGAAATTCACAAAATGTGAAAAAGTTGGAGTTAGAGGACAAAATATTCAAGTCAGAGAAAGTCACATAAATAAAAGTATCTAAAAAGCCTAAGTCACATTCCTTTATTTTTCCAACAATTTTCAGCATTTTGAGCCTTTGTGTGAGCTCCAGTGACAAACTCCAGCTCCTGCCAAGAGTCCACAAGCTATTTGTCAGTTTGTCTGTGTGCCGTCCCTCTTGTCCCCTCAGTGATGGAGTCCCCAGAGGTTAAACACTCTCCTTGTTAATCTTACCTCAAGAATCCCAGAAAACCAATGTTTGCTGCCCTTGGGTGCTTTGTTTTAATAACGCCACACCACACACAGACCTCTCACTGTGTTACTCACAACTTTGCAGATGAAACCAAAGGCTCAATTCAACTTAAAGAAAGCCAATTCTCCACAGTCTCACACACACACACACACACACACACACACACACACACACAATCACTAACCCTCCTTCTTTCCATCAGCAACTAAAACTAAAACAGAAAGAACACAACACAAGATGTATCTAAAATCTTTCCCCTGCCATCAGCTTTAGTACAAATATGCAGTGGCATTTAATGGTGTTTATTTTGAAACATCTGATGCTAACCCTTGAAAGGCTATTATGCATCTTTCACCTTAGTGGGACAAAAGGGCATTGTAACTTCATGCAGTCAGACTGCTTGCTTAAGTTTAGGTCTGCACTCACATGAGAAAAATACTTGAGTATCAGTCATCTTGGAATCCAAGGGACTTATTCATAGAGCATGTGGGACTCTATTCATACATGATTTATGTCTTCACATAAAGGGGAGTGGGGGTGGTGTGGGTTGCCCAGAGAACCATCATCTGCTTCTCCTGAGTAATTTATACAAGATCAATATTTATGAAGGTGAGTCAAGGATTGTGCCATAAGTCCCCAGGAGCCAAATACTTCATTTACAGTTCCTTCACCCATGGAAGGGAGCATGACAGATTGAAATGTTTGTGTAAAATCTGCTTAAAGAGGTTCTCAACTGGTTCTGAGAGAAGTTTTCAAAGGGATGAGAGAAAGTAGGAGTTAAACAGGTAGATAGTGAAGAGAGATGGGAGTCTGTGGAGAATAGCACCAACAAAGGATGTTTAAAAGGCCTTCAGGTCTCAGGGATGTGATAAATGAGTTGCTGTGAGACATTAGAGTATTTGTGTCCCTAATGGGAAATCAGAACATTCCCATTAGAACTGGAGTATAAAAGGTTTAATACACTCCATCCGGGAGCTGTTCACTTGATTTTGTAAGCGAAAGGAATCCCTTACAGATTTTTAAGTTTGGGAGTGACAGGGCCAGGTTGCTCTTTGGTGACATGATCTTTACTATCTGCGTATCATTTCATAGAGAAATACAGCAAGGAGATGAAAAGAGGGTTTCAATTTGTTTGCCAAGTCTAGTAGTGTCTCTACCGAGGGCTGTTTTTGTTTGTTTGTTTGTTTGTTTTTTCAAATTACAACACTTTATTGCAGCATTGGCAAAGGTCAAATTTCTGAAGCTGGTGAAGATTGGGCAGCATTTCCATGTGAAATGTTGCAACTTTTGTTTTCTATTTAAATCTACATGCAGAAACTGAAACATGGTAAAAGAAAAATGTAAAATAGAAAAAAAGATGTAATCAAGTTGTAGCATACAGAAGTGCTCTTTAACTAAATTCACTATGCCTACTGGAAAGCAAACGAAAGACACTACACTAATAAATTAACAGACAGAAACAGACTAAGAACCCTCATTTCTATTCAGTGGGGTGTATGTGTGGGGAACAAAACCAAACAAAAACAAAAGCAAAAAAAAAAGCTCTATTTGTTTCTGTATTTTGTTTAGAGACACAGGCTGTAACCCATGAAGGTCAACAAAATATTCTCATCTACTTCTTGTTGTCCTTCGTTTCTTTTGTTACGTGCTGGCTGGCACATTTTGTTTTCAGTGATACTTACAATGGGCTCAGCTATATCCCTGTTCTTAGTACCGAGGGCTGTTTTGAGAAGGGTTTTGACGCTGCTTCTGGATTCATCGGTGTCCCAAATAACACAAAACTCAGGCCTCTCATGGGTGTCAGAAGGCTAAATGGCAGCCGGTATAAACTAAGCATTTGCAGTGCCCGTGTTAGCACTGGGTTGGGAAAGCCTGTGCAACATAATTCATCTTGAGGTAGGACAGCCTCCATGTATGGACGGGCGATGATGTGAGTAGATTTATATACAACGATGCTTCTGTTGTAGAACCCAGTTTGTTTCAGATTCGTGTTCAAACATCAAGAAGTTCGCATATTTTTTCCTATAAGAAATAACGGAAAACCAAATAATTGATCCCATGGCCCCAACATTACGCTTATAAATTCATTTTGAAGGACTTTTAACAAAATTCAC